TTTTTTTTTTTTTTTTTTTTTTTTTTTTGTCCGCGATGGAACGTTCGAACGGACGAACGCGGAACCTGCGCGATGGTTTTCTAACGTGGATATATCGGACGGTGGCGTGGGGAACGGGTCGCATCCGGGTTAACGTAATTACAAATTAATTTCGTTTTATTAAGTAGCTCGCGATCGGATGAACGCGCGTACGCTTATCTTCAGCGAGCGAGCGAGAGGCACCGTATTCGGGTTAATTCTGCATTTAATTGGCGGCTTAACCGTATATCCACGGTTTATTCGGCTCGCCGTGAGAAAAAAGATATTAATTTTTCAACCAGTAACTAGAATTCCCGCAAGAATTTGCACTTTATGGAAACACGGGCAGATGAAGATAACGCTGGTAATTGCGTAGCGCGGCGCGGCGGCGGAGAGGATTATTTGAAATGCTTTGCCTCGTGAAATATGGTGTGTATCGTGGATCGTTGCCTCCGAATACTTCAGTGACCCACAGGTGTGCAAGGATGGAACTGCCTTCGGGTAACTGTACCGAAACTTACTCATGAACACTCGTGGAAGAAATCATGCTCATTTGTTGTTTCTTATTAATTATCGATGAATTATTGACATGAACGAAAAGATTATATTAAGAGTAAGTAACTTCCATTGAACATTGTTTAACTACATTTTGCCACGCGTGCTTTCAAAATAATTCACGTGTCAAACAATCGTTTTTCTTTTTCTGTTTTTACAAAAAGAGGACTCTGCGTGTGTATAGAATATAATTATCATTATCATTATCACTCACTCCTATTCTTTATATTCCTATGCTAACTTTATGTAGTCGTTGAATTCGAAAGATGTTATTATCTGAAGAGTAATTTAGATACTATTAGAAAAAGTTGCTCATTTCAAGATACAATTTCAAGATATCATTATTTGCACCATATATATTTTTTAGTGACAAGTTCCTGCATTTCCATTTACATCAAAATCAAATTTTCCACTTTCTGATCCGCAGTAATTATCTACTTTTGTAATTCAAGTCTCTTAAAAAACAAATACTTTCATAAATTCATACATCATTTTTCTGCGATGAATCAATTCGTAAGATATATTTCTGTGCGCAATGAGTTGACCCAAGACCAAAAAAGACCTATGTTGAAATTCACTTAAACTTCTCGCAAGTGCAGCCAAATCCCGTACTACTCTGTTGCTTGATACAATTTCTGAGCGGCTCGTACAAAACAATCGGGATCCTCGAGGGACCCCGTTCCCCGCTAATTGTAAGCTCGTACCGAGAAAAGCCAATCGCGATTTGCGTACGAATCCCCGGAGGGTCGGTCAGTTGATCGTACATAAAATCTGGCTTTGCACGCTGATAAGGGATCCCGGTTTTACGTGTGCGTGTCTCTTCTACTTGGCGCACACGCGAGAGCCTGCATCGGTTGCCCCGTCTTCCTCTTTCTTCCTAGCTAGCGTTAGGCGCGCTTCTATCGGTCCCTTTCGCCTCTCTTTCCCTCTCTCGTCTAAGCGTGTACACGCGCACGCAGATGCCGCGTGTCGATGTGTGGGTAGGGTTATTAGCCCAGAAAGCAAGGCCCCTGCTTCCGGTGTAGGCACTTTAGTTCGAGAGTTTCTTAACCCCTTCTTACACGACTCCTCGTTGGCCTGGCCTGGCCTAAGACTCTGGCCCCGGCCACGGCCTGTTGTGTCGGTTGCGGGTGGTAGAACGCCTCTCGTTCAAGTCCGCAACTCCACCACGAAATATACTCTC